ATCTAAGACCTCAGAGTGAGTTTTCTGTAAATACAAATTACTATCTGAATGCATTCATGGATTGTTTAGCCTATTCTGATGTATGGCGTTACGAATCTCCCACAGACATAGATTGAGCTGATGCCAAAATAATTGGACACGGTTGTAAAATCCTAAGTATCTCACCGCCACGCCGATCCTTTTCTCTGGCTGCCAGTGCCAATTAGAATTTTATTGTCAAACTGAACTAGTAAAATAACATCCAGAGACCCAGTAACAGTCGCGCTCACGATCCACCTGCTGGTTTCCTTAATACGTACCAGTGGTCAGACAGGACACCTTGTGACTAAAAGGTCTGTCCTGGGAATGTAGTTGTGAGGATGTACTGATGTTTTCCTACAGACCCTCATTTCCTGAATAACCAGGAGATGTCAGATGTGACTTTCGTAGTGGAGGGGAGACCGTTCTATGGCCACAGAGTCCTGCTGATCACAGCTTCTGACCGGTGAGTCCAGATGAGCTCCCACTCGACAGCTACAAACCTAAAACATTACTGTCCTTGAGGGTTTTGATGAGGACATTTAAAAAAATTTTTTTTTTTTAGATTCAAGTCTCTGCTGGCGTGCTGTGGACCAGATGGAAGCCCCAACAAGAAGATTGAGATTAGTGACATCAAGTACAACATTTTCCAGGTAACAAATGTGCTCTTTATTTTCTTGTTTTCAAAAATACGTCATATTTTGGAACAGAAACAATTCAGATGTACCACATATAACAGATGTCAAGTCTTTAGTTTAACTGCTGTACTGACTGTTTTTCTAAATGATAAAAAAAGACTTTTGACCTCCTTGCAGATGATGATGTCATACCTGTACTGTGGCGGAACAGAGTCACTGAAAACAGTTGTGCCTGATTTGCTGGAGGTGAGAAGCACTAAACAGACACAATAGCATCTATTCCAGTATTCGTATGAAAGGTTTTCCTTGCAAGAAATCCCAGGGGTTGTTAGTTTTACATAAACTGTTAAAGTATTTTTTTTGATAATGAAAATTCCCAGTTAAATTGTCAATGACATTTATTTATCTGATGATTTTAACAAAAGCAGCTTTCCCTAAGTGCATTTATACATGCGGGTAAGACCCCCAAAAATGCCAACCTTATTATAATAAAACACAAATTCACCTCACCATCATTTACCGATATGTGGAGATAAGTTCGACACTACCCCTAACCCTGTATATTTAGGAATAAACCAGTAACCAAATTATTGACAAAACCAACTAAATGTTCCTTCACGGATGTATTTGTTCCAGTATCAAACTTAACACGTTTGCTGTTGATTTCCCCTGCAGTTGATGTCAGCTGCTAGTCTGTTCCAGCTGCGGATGCTACAAAGACACTGTGAACTCATCTGCTCCCAGCTCATCAACCTGGATAATGCCGTCAGCATCTACAAGAGGGCGAAGGTGAAACACACACGCCGAGAAGTCTGCATCGCGTTGTGAGAACTGGGGGGTATTCCAGAAAGGGGGTTATGTGAAAACTCAGTAAGTAAACCCTGAGATCAGGGAAACTGAGTTATCCGTTCCAGATAGAGAAGTAACTGAAACTCTAAGTCAATCACCATGGTAACAGACTCTGAACATGACCTGCTCGCTGGCAGTTTTACTATAAGAAACCCGGAGTTTCTACCGTCTCCTCCCACATGAAGAAAGCTGGTAGACATGGATTTCCCGTTCCTACCAAATCCAATTGACATCGAAGCCTTAGTGATTCGAAATGCTTTACGTAGCGAGAGAATCTTCTGACCCAGATTAGACATTTTATCATTTCCAGAGGAATTTCTGTTCGAACGCTACTGCTTTTCCTCACAAGGTATCATTTATCTCACTAACATTCTCCGGCCGTATATCACCAACCTCACACACTGCGGACGTGCACCCACATCAGAGCAAATCTTGTGCATCGCACTACGTTTTTTTTGCAAATGGTAGTTTTCTTTGCAACATCAGGGATGCAGAGCAACAGTTTGTAGAGCTGTGAGGAAAGTTCACCTTGCACTGAAACGCGTGTTTCCCGGACACAAACCTCTTAGAACCATCAAAGAGGAATTCCACAGGATTGCAGGTGACTGATGTAGAAATCATATTATATTTTTAAAAATTATGATGTACATCCTGCTGCGACCTCAGAAGCTTAATTAGCTGTCATTTTGCAGGGCTGCCAAATGTGATAGGATGCATAGATGGGACATGTATTCCTGCACTCGATGAAGGGGACTATGAATAGAAAATCCTTATTTCTAATCTTGTCAATATCATGACTATATTTAATTCATTTTTCCAACTCATTTGATAAATAAAAGTGACTTTTCATGGAAAACACGAAATTGTCTGGGTGACTCCAAACTTTTGAACGGTAGTGTATATATTAGTTTTTTTTTTTTTTTAAATAAGTGTATACTTGCATCACTTGTGTCCTGGGGGTGACAGGTTCGGAAGAGCTTCCCCCAAGGATACCTTCAGCCACCGAACCACTGTTTAGGCTGAGGGCCAGCTCCTCTGTCAGAGGGGGTGGAGGTGGCCCTCAGCCTGTTTTTCGGGCCTCTGCCTTCTTTCTGTTGGCTGAGCAGAACTCAATGTTTCTTTGTTTTTTAATTAGTATTTTAATGTGTTGGTGTCACATTTTAAATTAATTCGATAGGAGACACATTTTTATTTTATACCTGGGGTATAAAGTGAAAAGACGTGTAAAAACATTTTATTAGGGGTTTAATTTATTATTTCAGGTAGCCACTGAATTAATATTTACTTTGTTTAATAGCCTAAATCAATTCAAATTAAAGTGAGGTGCAATCATTGCAATATATGCCATATCTTTTTTGAATTATGTTTTTAAATTTCATTTTTAGCTGCTTCCAGGTCCTTTTTTCCACTGTTGGATTGCACCTAAATGAATATCAGATTACATTCCTACTTATATTCATAACTATAGGCTGCGACGATCTTACGGTTAAATGTTATGTCAATGGAACAGTACATTCAAACTTACGCGTTGACTCGGGCAGCATTTTCCCCACGCAGTCTCTCTCTCCTTCGCTGCTGCAGCTGTATTGCATTTGCGGCGAAATACTTGCTCATACTCACCGTAGGCCTGCAGAAGGACCTCCAACTCCATCGCAGTGAAATAGCTTGCTCTTTTATTTACTGTTGTCATGGTGACTCGTGCTATCGGGGCTCCATTGATGATGGCTTTTTATAATCGTCATGCACACGCTTAATTCAAGGTGAACATACTCAGAGTTGATTGAACTAACGCAGATCAGCTGTTCTGGAACCGGATACTCAGTTTCCCGTCTCAGAGTAAGTCAACTCTGAGTTCAGGGATAGACTCAGTTTGTTAAACCTCCTTTCTGGAATACCCCCCTGGTTCGACACTGGAAAGATACAACAACAACAACATAACGGTCTTATCTGTTTCCAGGCCCATGGTTCATTGGAACTCAGCTCTTTCTGTGAAGGTTACTTCTTGCAGCAGATGCCCGCTCTACTGGAGAGGGAGGGCTTCAGGAGCCTGCTGCTGGGACCCCCCGCCACCCGACAGGGGAGCACCTCCACCTCGCTTCCCAGCCGGGGAGACTCGCCTCTCGAGGAGCTGCAGGCCACGCTGGCTCAGCGGCTACGCTCTCTCTGCGTCACTTCCCGGGTCTGAGGAAAGCGGACGGAAATAATGGCGCGGCAGTCTAAGGTTCCTCTTATCACTGATGGAGGATCAGATGTTAAAGATACTGTTAAAATGGTTTGAGTTCATGCTTTTCTTAGTGACAGTGATTTGACACTGGGACAGAGATCAGTAAGTTCATCTGGCAGCAGTTAGAATCTACTATGTGGACAATTCAGCATTTCGTATTTTGTGCCAGGCACTTCATCTTGAATTCATTGCAGTGGACGGCTTGTTTATGAAGAAGAAAATTGGTCAATGTCATGTTTGTTTTTTCCCCCCCTAAAGCTCTGGAAGCTTTAAGCGAGAGGCAACAGATTGATGTCACAGGTGGGAACTCTGAATTATGAAACACTGCTGCCCTCTACTGGACAAAAAGACTAATTCCCTCGGAGGGTTTGGGATCCAGCGCCCCCTCCTGGTTCTGACTGGCGCTGTGTAACAAATAGACTGACTCGAGTGGGGCCGCCATGCTGGACTTATGGCTTTGTCCTGTTATCATAATGTAGAATGGGAGGACAAAGGTAGACGTGGTGCCTCAAGCATTGACTTTCATTTTGGATTAACAAATGTACTTTTTATGTATCTTAATGTTTTTATTTTCTATTTTTTAAAGGTGTTTCTGGCAAAACAAAGTTGAGTGGGATGGACATTTTCTATTTAATGAGAAAAAAGATGTGAGAGTATTTAACGGGGTGTTCCCTTTTTTATTGTTTTTAATCCAAGCAAATTATTAATATTATTGATGAAAACTTGCTTCTGTGTAGCTGTTGTTCCAGTTAATTAAGCTTATGGTATGCTGAGGTTTAATGCTTCTATACAGGTAGAACAGCAGTGTGTCCAACGTGGGATTTGGAAAACATTTGGTCTGTTTTAATGCTGAAAATTGACAAAGCTTGTTTACCAGGTTTATTACAGTGTCACTGGGGCCGACTATTCCACCATGTATTGTCTGTTTAGAGTTGTGTAGACTTACCTGAAATCCTTAAGATGGGGGGGTCATTAACGCATTTATAGGGCTTGTAATCGTGCTTCACACCACAAGGCCATAGTGTCAACAGAGTTTGAAAGAATTACAGTGCACGTCACAACCACCGCACTTGAAGACACCGATCACATTTGTGAAAGGAAACAGTACTGTAAGATAAGTAGACAACATGCTGGTTTATTCTGAGAAAATTAAAATTTCTTACCGTGGTCACTGGTCCGTACCCAATCAGTCCAAATGGGATAAAACAACTGTTAAGATATGGTTTTTCAAACACTACGGATGCCTACACACAGGAAGAAAACTAACACACCATAACTTAATGAGTTTATTTGTTTCAGCACTGAAGATGCTCACAGTTATTTCATATGGGGATTACATCAGTCAGTTTGTTTCCTGCTCTGGCAAAAAAAAAAAGACCGCTTTGGTCCTTTAGAATCATCAGATGTCCTTGGTACTGCTAGCTTCCCATTTAAAAAAAATAAAATCAACGGAAAGTGAACGATAGGGTATTGCTTTTTGTTTGTGCGCCGATATCCCCTCACTGTCCCTCTTCTACCGCCGGGTGGAGAGAGCAGACATCCAAGCCTTCCAAAGAGGTACAGAGTAACGGAAGCATCGTTCAAAGCTTTGTGCACAAAATAAGAGGGGGAGGTAGGGGAAGATTAGCAGGGACAATAAAAAAAAGGCCAGAAATAAAAGCTGAGGGTAAAAAGTGGGGCAAAGAGGAAATTTAAAACCTTAAAAAGGTCAATTTTGTGGAGAGAGAAAATCGATGAAGGCTGAGAGGAGTGAGTTTGGCATGGAACATGAATACTAAAGCCATGCAAAGAAAAGCTCATGTTCGACATGCACACAGCAATACAGACTAAAAGCATTGAGCAGGAATCCCCAGCATGGTTGAGAAGACGATCAACCCCCCCGCGGTCTGTCTGTATATTTACAAAGAGAAGAAGTAGATTGGGATCTGTAGAGTCCTTCTCCTCAGGCCCGGCCTACACGCACAATAATATGAAACTGACAAATATCAATAGAAGAGCATTTTCCCCTCTCCAAAAAGAGGCTACGTCTACATTCTTAAATTACTGGTAAATGCTTTTTTTTTTCTTTTTCAAGAGTTCCCACAAGTTCTCTTTCCCTCCACAGAGAGGTCAGGGAAAAGAGAATTTGTCACTCGATTGTTCACACAATCTCTTAAATGTAGACCAAAACTAAAGAAGAAAAAAAAAGTTAATTTTCTTTTTTCTTCAAATGTTGCCCCATTTACGAACACACAAGAGGGTAATAAATAACATTCAACTGACCTAACAGCTTTGTTCATATAAATAGCCAAGTTATAATAAATTAGGAAATCAAACAGTAAGATGAACAAACGTTGAATAAATAAGGACAGAAATACAAAAATATCCACAATTGCATTTGTCACATCATTTTTTTTTTTGTTCGTCTACTTCTACTGCTGGTAAGTGAGGCTAAGAGAAGAGAGGTATGAATGGAAAACCAAAGACAAAGTGCTGCAAATAACACAAACAGGAATGCGTTGATCATAATTAGTTCAATCCGACAAAGACTTGGATGATCGTGTAACAAAAACACACGGAATAATTTAAAAGAACAGCATGTAGCAGGCGCAGGTTTGGCAACCTGAGCCCATGGTATCTAAACGTAGTGTCACAACTAGATATTTCATTTTTATACAGAAGAAATGATATCAGTCTGTACAACAGAATAGATCATTCATTTTAAGTAAATACCCGCCCTCGTCCCTCCCCTCCACCCCGTGTCATCGTACCCCCCCGATCCCCCTGCAGCGTTCTGCTCCTCTCTGAAATCACAATTCCAGTCCATTTGCAGCAAGAGTATTACGTCTCATAGTCACTTAGTATTTCAAACCCAGTTTTAACAAAGAAGTTACATTAAAAAGCAAACAAATACAATCCAGCAAGTGTCCGCGTCGGCCTTTTGGCTTTCTACATCCCCCCTTCTCTCCTCCTCATCAGTCACTTTGTGTCTTCTTTCTGTTGTTGTCTGTGTTCTTGTTAATACATCCCAGAGTTTTCTGTGCAAACTAGACCTGTGCATGTAAGCATGCACATGTTTTTTGTGTGTAGTGTCTTTTTGTAAAATACTCATCTCCGTATGACGAATGCTCCTCGACAGGAAAGGGGCGGGCGGGCGGGCGGGGGGGGGGGGGGAGTGTGCGTTTTTTTCTTTCATTGGGATTTCTGAGGATTAGTTGTGCACATATGTGTGTGTTTGTGTGTTCCTAAGATGGGGGAACGCACAAAGGGATTTTCATCTACTTCTACTGCCAGAGGTGGAGCAGGGACGTGGAGGCAGATGAAGGTCTGGATGAAGGGGTCTGTTTCCATGGTGAACCCCCCGCCCCCCTCTCTCTTCAGCGCACCTCTACAAACCATCCTCCGTCAACAAATGTCCATCTCTACCGGCATGCTCAGGGGTGGGGGGGCGGTCGGGGCGGGCGGCAGGGCAGGAGGGTGGTCGAGGGAAGGCGGACGGAGCAGGGAGCAGGAGGAGGGGCTTAATAGGTTTTCTGGATAATTCCTGGTATCAGAAACAAGTCAGGTCATCACACAGGTTATCAGCAAGGGAGCCAAGAATCGGAGCAAGGGTCACAGGCGATTGGATGGTTGAGGTAGAGGAGTGGATGGTGGTGGTGTGAAGGTGGGTGGGGTGGGGATAATGAAAAAGGGAATGGAAGGACTTGCGCGCATTTGTCGTGTAGGTGCAGTATGCGTTTTTATAAACATTACTTAGATTCTCTCAATATATTATATTTCTATAAAGTCATTTCATACAAAAAGAAGGCCCACAAAGGATTATGTACAAATACTCTCTCTCTGTGTGTTACAGTGATACCGGGGGAGCTCGACTACATAGCATCTCGTTCTAAGACTCCTCCCGTGGGCCCCAAAGACGCCACCGACAGCCTGACCCGGTTTCGGCCCGCAGCGGGGCATTTGGTGTCATTATTTTCTGGCTCGTGCCTCCGGACGTGAATGGGCGAGGGGGAGTGCTTGGTGGGCGTGCCAGAGGGGTAGGGCCCCTGTCCATTCTTCTCGTCTGAAAAAAGTTGGTTCATTACGTCAAAGAAGTTACTCAATGGGCTGCCTAGGTACACAGATGGAGGGGGGGTAGGGGGGAGGAAAAGAGAAGAAAGAGAACAAACAAACTAATGAACAGCGGGGTAGACTGCACAGAGACGAGGCACGTAAGACTGATGCACACAGAGAGGATGAAAGCTGCTGCTGCAGCCGCAACGGCACGATGGGCCATGCTTAAGTAACAACACGACCAATGAAAACACCAGAGAGCCATACGATCTCAGACTGGCAATCAAAGCAAATGG